ATTATCGTATAGAGACATCCTAATGGATTGCTCTTAACTGTATGCACCACCTTTCTTAACCTCTACGCGTTCATGTAAGTTATTGATTGATCAGTTTCTGTAAACAGTAAAATATGGGAAAAGTTTTTATTTTTTAAATTTGTAAATACGGGTTCAAATATGCAATCAACAAAATTTCTAATGCGTGCCACTAAGGGAAAACTTTTTACAGCCACAAAACTCATATAATTTTTATCTCTTTTTTTCACCTATAACTCCCACACGGTGCATCAAAGTGGAAAATGTACTTTTTATGAAACTAAACAATGTTAAATTGTATTTCGAATGAGTACCTAAACTTTGGTCAAATGGTATGGTAGAAAACCATGGTTAACGAATGCTGATTTTTACCAAATTTTCCATTAACTGAGACAGATTACTATAAATGGCCCAGCAGCTTGGAAATAAGTTCTCTAAGAGGAACTTCAAATTTGTAGTGCATCAAATTCTGCGTTCATAGAATACTAACATTTTTTATGTCAATTATATCTTTCGAATGGGGATTCGTTATCTCTTCATAAAATCAGGTTTTTCTTTTGACACCTTGTTCCTCTTCACAGTCCTAATAGCCGACACGAAGACCAAACTACAACAAGCTTTGGTAGAGTGGGAAGAAGAGTTGCTCAGGAAAGGGATGCAAATTAACACCTCCAAAAGTAAAGTGCTGGTTATGGCGAGGGAAGAGCGAGAAGATGTCCAGCTGATCTGCAATGGCGAGACACTTGAGGTGGTGACTGAATATACCTACCTGGGGACCGTAATTAGTAGTTCTGGTAAGATAGACGCCGAAATATCAAGTAGAATATGTAAGGCGAATCAGGTATATTACCAGACTACTAATAGCATTATCGGCCATCGCGAAGTAGACAAGAAGACCAAAATGCACGTATATAAGTCTGTTTACCTACCTACACTCACCTACGGCGGAGAAAGCTGAACAATGCTAGACAGGCACTCTAGTCGCATAACGGCAGCAGAAATGAGGTTCCTTCGCAGATCTGTTGGCAGAACTAGAAGGGATCGCATTAGGAATGAAAGCATTAGAGAGCAGCTAGGAGTTGCCGAACTTAAAACTACTCTAGAAAGACGGCAACTCCAGTGGTTTGGACACGTCTGCCGCATGAATGAGAATTTGAATCCTATAAGGATATTAGAGGGTCGACCCACAGGAAGAAGACCACGCGGACGCCCCAGACTCACGTTCCAGGATTACATTCAAAGGATTGGATGTAAAAGAGGCAAAACCCTTAATGAGATGAAGCGACTAAGCACGGAACGGGAAGAGTGGTTGCACTGGTTGAGGCTCCTCGACGCTAATTAATGGCATAAGAGGAAGACAAAGAAGAAGAAGAAGTTCCTCTTCACTGCTGAGAGGTGGAAAAGCAATCTCTACTGCGTAGAGCAGACTAAAGAAGAATAACTCAGTAAAATAAACACCCATACTGTTAAAAAATTGAAAATGACACATATCTTCATTACCAATTTCCAGCCATCGAGAGATCATTGTTTTAGAGTGGATAAGTGACATACATTAAAACTTTTGGAGCTCAGTGGACGCAGAATTTGATACTCGACAAATTTTATTTTAAGGATTTTAGGAAAGTCATTTGCAAGCTGCAGAGCCATTTATAGTAATTTATATCAGTTTTTGACAAACTCGGTAAAAACAAGAGTTCATTGACCTTGGTATTCTACCATACCTTCTTCTTCTTTCGCTTCTACCTTTTGTGCCTCTCATTGGAGAGGAGTGCACAGCCATGAATTCTACTCCACTCTGATCCTTGCTAGATTGCTAGCCTGATGGAGTTCTTGCCTCTTCATATGTAAAGCCAATCTACATATTACAGATGACATTCTTGGGTGTCCTCGAGGTAATCTGCCATCCGGAACATAGTCCACAGACTTCAATGGATCCCCAAGTTCCTCTATGAACATGACCCAACCATTTCAATGGGCCTGTTTGCGAAACCTCCTTCACTGGCGACTTCAAGTTCTTCTCGTATCCTTTCGTTGTGAACACGGTCTCTCCTAGTCTTTCCGACTCTTCTTCATATAAATTTCATTTCACCAGTGGTGACTCAGCTCTTCTGCCTGTCTGTCAATATCCAACGCCTTGTACAAAAGTATTGGCAGGAATACAGATTTAAATAAATGGAGTTAGACGTCCTAAGCTATCTCTCGCTTTGCAACAACAGTGTTGCAAATCTGGTAGTAGACTGCGTTTGCCTTGCTTCGTCTGTTAAGCTATTTTCGAGTCCATTGTCCCAGATCTGTCTATGACTGTTCCTAAGTAGGTGAAATCCGTGACCACGTCCAATTCCTCTCCATTGCAGTGTACATATTTATCTTCAATCTGCTTGCCTACCGAATCAGCGATAAGAACAACATTGTCAGTATATAGGAACAGCTAAATCACTGCCGGAAGATTTATTCTCCCCAGGAACGTCCCTCTGTTCTTATATGGCCGCTACTTCATCGATGTATATCAGAAATATCAATGGTCTTAATTGGGGGCCTATCTACTTGTTTGACCTCTCTTGTCATGTTAAAGTGATCTGACTCCACCCCATTCCCCTGAACAATTCCCTTTGGGTGTTGGTAAATAGATTTAATGTCCTTGGGACCTTCTTAGCTCTAAAGAGTTTCCCATATTTTATGTCTGCGAACCGTGTCAAATGATGCTTAGAGAGGAAGGAATGTGAGATACATACTTTTAACCTGTTCCTAAGATTTTTGAGAATATTTCTTTGTGAGAATATGTGGTCGTGGGTTTGTCATCCTGGTATACACCTAGCTTGCTTTTCCCCAATAAGGTGTTCAACTAGGGGCCTTAACTTTCCAGAACAGTTGTGTGTGTGTATATATATATACTCGATCAAAACGTCTCTTTATAACAGCCCATTAAGAAATCAATCTAAGACAAGGAGTCCTTTAAATTAAAGATAAACAGGTAAAAGAATTTAAGATCTCAATCTGTCTCAAAGAGGCGCGAAAGATTATATAAGGATGTTTATATAATAGATAAACATTTGGTATATATATATATATATATATATATATATATATATATATATATATATATATATATATGAAGCATTTGGCCTGAGAGCATTCTATCATACCAATTTAAACCAAATTATTATCATTTAAGTTATTAAGTTTAGGTACTCGTTTGACTCACAATTTAACGTCCTTTCATTTTTTTAAGAGTAAATTTTCCAATTCGATGCACCATTTAGGAGTTATAGGTGAAAAAACAAAAAAATCTAGTTATAAGTGAAAAAACAAAAAATCTAAGTTTTTGGCTGCCCGACCCACATTAGCAATTATGTGTTTTACATGTTTGAACCCAAATATACAAGTTAAAAACTTTGTCCACACTTTTCGCAATATATTTCCCTTTTTTATCTTCAAGTCACTGCCCTATTATCCTTAAACCAACCCTTATTTTTTAAAGCAGTGGCTGTGGAATGGGAGATAAGGTTCTTTTTACTTAGAATAACATACACATTCGTAATTTACATTTAAACCTTCACCTGCGATGAGGTGACTTTTCGGGCTCTGGCTCCAGGGCCATCACCACAGTAAGAGATGTTTTGCCAGTAATGAAATGGTCAAAGGTTACCATGATAATGCACCAACAAAAATTGATAATTAAAATAATCAAAATTACAGAAAACCAAACAAAATTCATGGATTCTGTGAATTTTTTATCACCAGTGAAAATAAAGAAGTTAATCAATGTGTTTAACTTCTTAGAATAATTATTACTAAAATCCTGACATAGTATCTGATCTCCGTCCGCTCAATAAATAAAATAATTGATTTTTACTACATAAGCATAGCAGTGTAATCATGTAATCTTGTATCAATCCATCGTGTTGGAATGAAATTTGTGAAGTAGTACTGTATTATTACATAAATTAAATTTCAAATAGAAATAAATCCTGGTACTGCTTTACAAGTGTTGCTTCACTTAAACGGGTTGCACTAGGTCTCATGAATTTACATTAAATTAAATTCCGAGAATTGGAATTGGTCGAATGAGTTCAACAGGTACCATCTAGTGACCGAGCACAACTGAAAAAGACTACTTGAATGTTTGTTTATCCATTTTAAATGAGCTTAAGTTGAATTCAGTGATGTCATTAAAGCTAATTAAGATCCTTATTTTAACTGAAAAAGATCAGTTGGAAGTTTCCATACGTCGTAAATCATGATCTAGGCAAAAGAGGTTAGACCGTGAACACATCCATTACTTGATCATTCTCATAATTCCATTTTTAGTGCTATCATAAGACACTGGCCCACCCATCGAAGTGTAACACTTGTAACATACCTGCATCTTCATTACATATTTTCCAGTTTTTTATTCCATACTAAACGGTATAGTACTACTCTACTAGTTATGTTTCATTTTGACAGGTGAGTACAAGTTTGCAAATTACACTATAAATGGAATTCCAAGAACAAGAATTTGAGTATTGACATATTAACTAGTATAACCTCTTTATTTATGACTTTAGCGCACTACTAATTGGTCCTTTTCAGTGTAAACCAGGGCCTTAATTACATTACTGCTTCAAACTTTTACTCACTCAAAATGTATCAAAAAACCCCAACTGGTTCTTTTCAATTGAGGGCGGAGCCAGACCTAACAGTTCAGTCAATCCTGCCTACTTTCGAACGTAGCTCGGCCATCCTTAGAATGACATTTACAGTGTGATTATTCTTGTTCTCTTCCATCAAAATGTAGTAACACATAATAAGAAGAACCAATCGCATATTTGAGGAATTTGTAATAGAAGTAAATCTAGAGTCCATTAATAATAATGTTTGCTAGAGAGCATAGCATAGAAAGATATTAAATTTGATGTAACTGAAACCAAGAAGCTTAATTGCTCTTAAAAAGACCTAAGATTTTTACATGCACTTCATAACAGGAAAATAATTAACAAAAGTTAAAATAATCATAAACATATATTATTGAAACAGTTATTTTAAAAAAAGCTTTCATAACATTCTTAAATAAAAATAATTCAGATGATAATGGATCAACAACAATAAAATTACAAATCCTACCTTAGACATAATAAATATGATAAAACATAACATTTTCGAGAAAGAAGTTGAGCAAGAAAAAGAAAAAAATAACAATTTGATAAGACTGATTTCCATATTGCAAAATAAAAATACAAATCTATGACAGCTAAAATTGTTGATCTCCTAATGCAATAAGAATGACTAATTATTAATATTTATAATTACTGTAAATGGACTACAGATACAACGTAATTAGTATACATAAAACAATATCTTGAATCTAAGGTGATACAAATATAAATTATATCCAAATTTGTACATATAAGAATGAGAGATGAGTCGGATTTAAAATTAAGCCAATTATAACTATAGTTAATAAGCATTGCATTAAAATCAGTATGAAATCAATCCAGATAATGTAACATTGTTGAGAAAATAACTCATATAAACAATGTAAAAACCAATACATTGAGTGACATAACAATCAAATACATTTGTAAATGTGTTAACACTATCCAATTCCATCCTTTTATTTGTATGTAACAAAAATAATTAAATTACAAGCATACAGAAGTTAATCCTCAAAATGCCTGACATTTTTAAGAAGTCCAATTAAATACATAATTGTCAAAAAGTCGTGAGAAAAAAATTGTCATGACAGAGAATATATATAAAAAAAAAATAGTGAAGAGGAAATTTAATAATATACAGTACACTGATATGAAATAAAAACTTTGGAAGCAAAGTAACATTAACAATACTATGTACCTATGACTGATAAAAACATGCTATGTATAAATAACTGATAAAAATAAATACAATCGTTATTATTATTCAATTAACTAAATCAATTATTTACAGGGTTATAAATGACTTAAACTTCAAAATATTAATAACATATCACTGCTAACACTTAAAACTGATATGTCAAAACTAATGCAAACTAATGATAAAAATGTCACAGTAATAAACATTGTCACAACAGCATTGGTTTTCATAAATACGAAATGTACACAAAAACTTCACCAAACGTGAGTATATAATGTCATTAAAATAATTAGTGCAAGGAAACAATTGTTTGTAAAAACATAAACTATGTAAAGTTGACAAAGAGCGTTACTATGCTAATGGCTAACAAAAACTTACCAGTATTATTTCTGTTCGAAACCGATACTCTACTGTTTCCTTTACGTCTCGATCTTCTGGGGTAATATCTTGAAGAGCCGTAAGAAGCACTCGGCATTTTTAACTCTAAAACACACTATGATGAAAAACTATTTCGTGAAGCACAAACCCAATCACCGAGCAGCCATTACTAAAGGCGGAAGCAAAACCCGTAATAATGACGTCACGAGATCACATGATATTTGGTTTTATGAGGAGGTAAAATAAAATGGATACTGTTGTGAGAGGTGTTTGTGTGTTACCTATATTAGGATGTTGTATTTTATCGGCGATGTATGTGTTGAGTTTGTATGTTTGGCAAAACACCCATCTGAGGTAATGTTTACTAATTTACATTATGCCCTTTTTGTTTTGTTTATTGAATTGTGCATTTGACGTTTATCTCATTTCCTGGGTTTTCAACTATAATATTATTGAGTTTTTAAATAAAGTATAAATAGTATAGTTGTATTGATAAAATTGTGGTTAATTGATGAGTTATTATGTGTCTGCAGTTAATCTGAATGTTTTTTCATAAATATTTATTAGAAACGTTCTTAATTAATGGTTTTTATTTGCTATACCATGTTACAAAATTGTTAAAATTATTTATTCCAACTATCTAATTACTCATGCAAGATAAGTAACTGATAGTTTATCAAAAGAGAAGATTTAACTTTTTATCAAAACCAGGTAATCTCAAAATTCTTCTGTGGGATAGGGCATGTTTCAAAACTCAGCGCGGAACTGACCGATGAGATTGGAACCATTTCTAAATTGGGTGAAAAGATTTAATTGATGAGTTCAGAAACTTGCCCTTATTTACTCTGGATTCTCATTTCACGTTTCATCTATGTTATGGGTTGTTTATTTCTTAAGAAGTCCGCTCTTGAACAGTGAATATCATTGGGTGTAATTTGATTGTTACTGGTTTGTGAATTGATTAATATTACTTAAGAGCTTTCCAGAGGAGGTTACAGTCAGGGAGTCTCCAATTTCAAACTTTTTTTTCCATGATACATTCAAAAATTTTAAACACTTGTCCCAGCGTTTGTTCTAATGAACCGTAGGAGTGATAAAAATCTTTTATACTATTTCAAACAAAATTTATGTAATATATTTTTCCTTTTGCTTTACTCGAACTTTTAGGCCTATTATATACCAACTGATTTATTTATTTATTTTTTGTGCAGAATTAGAAAAAAATATTGACTATGGTATCAAATTAGAGTAATGATTTTGATGATACCCGTAGGCTTTCAGGGTGGGGATAGGGCGCTTATTCTTGATTGTTTAGATTTAGGTTACGGTTATGTTAGCCTATCAGACTTAAGCCGTAATCCCTACCACCTTATTTGCTGATAAATAATGATAGTAGCCGCACCAATTGACTTATAGCTAATTCTAGAATATATATTAACATTCTTTAACTCTTTATTGAAATATTCGTCGATTTACTTCAAACGAGATAAATATAGTATATAAATAATCGTAATATATTATATACCTATATCTTAATTTTATTTTGATATTTTTTATTTACTCTCTTCAAGCAATATGGATGCATTAATTAATGATTTGTAATTTTATAATTAAGCAATTCACTACATATTGTAATTAACCAATTAATAATTTAATAAATTTTGAATTTCTTGCCGTTCCATCTATTTTGGTTTGTCTGATCTCTTTTTGAACCAATTTCCATTTAATAATATAAAATCTATAAATTTGTTACTAACAAAGTTTAAAATTAAAATTTATGGTGAAATCTATTATATAGTAGTAATATTTTATCTAAAATATTTGAGGCTATTATATTATGTTATGGGGACCATTCCATGTCAAATCATGCTGCCAAAGTTTAATTTGAGATCCACCACAGTTTTTAATTAAAAATATTATATATCTAGCAGATACAAAAATTTGGATAAAATATCAAATTTTGCCTTATTATAACAAGTAGTTTAAGAAATTATGGTCATTTTAAGCATTAACAGATTTGAACTTTAAAGAAAAATCAATAATTATTAATCTGAAGCCTTTTAAATGTGTTCATTTTCCTTCAATTTTTTTAGAGAATAAAATTATACTATCTATATAACTATTGGCCTTATGGTCTTTCATTTCTTTATCTTTTCTCATTGTTATCTGATCTGATCAATATTCATTGTTTCAGGCTTACATTAAAAAAATAATTTCATTTTGTACTTATTACACCTGTTTTTCAACTGATCCATTTTGACTTTGATATGGATAATCACATGCACCCTGTTGTATGTTCAAATTATGTAATTTTTGACCAATAGTTAAGATTTCAAACATCTCATTTCTCTATTCACCAGTTTCATTTTTAGTCCGTGGTACAGACCCCTTTTTTATGAAATTATTAACATCCAGCTGAAACTTCGTAAATAGCTTCATCTCATAGTAATCTACAAATATTTTATTTACGAAAATTCTCAGCATTGGGATGTTTTCAATCTGGAGGGGAGCAAATTTTGTCTATTTTATTAGGTACTAAAAACTCGTAAATACACATTTACTTTTTACTTGGATCGTAAGATAATTTGATCACAAAATCGATAAAAAAGGTGCCCTACAAAAATATTTGGCCGTTTGTCCTATATAACCTCATCATTTTAAAAATTTGAGAGTGTAGGTCACGCCAAACGGCTCAATATTTTTTAAGGCCACCTTTTTTTTCGAGTTTGTGATCAAATTATCTTAAGATCCAAGTAGAAAGCAAATGTGTATTTACTAGTTTTTAGTACCTAATTAAATAGACAAAGTTTTCCTCTCTCCAGTTTGAAAACGCCCCAATTCCTAGAGTTATCGTAAATGAAATAGTTGCAGGTTACGATGAGACAAAACTATTTACACAGTTTCAGTTTCAGGTTGATGTTAATAATTCGATAAAAAAGGATCTGTACCATGGACTATTAGCTGTGGAGCAAGAAATATGCTTTAGAGGATTCATTTTTTGCATTTAACAAACTCTGGACCAAGTCTGGCAACTTTCAATGCTATACAATCTCCACAATGTTCTCTCCTCTACATACTTTCTGTAATCCATTCTCACACCACTGAAAGAACCTTCAAAGTAAATAATGATGTTGCTTATACTACCCTATTTTCTAAGCCTCCCTGCGTCCCTTAACAGTGGTGCCCAGAAGGGAGTTTCATGGCACAGGTTGCACCATCAAAATTTTTGAAGCGGCACATTTCGATGGAGCTATGAATTTTCAGAGGGAAAAGTTTCAAAACAGAGAATTAGGAGGAAACATGGGACAGATGACAGCAAGTATAATTGTATATGATCTACGAATTGTCTAATCTTACTTTCGGGCTTGCACTGTTTTCAGAAGAGGAGAGAAATACAATTTTTATAGAGGGGGATGGTTAATTCACCATTGATCTTGGAGGGGATGAGTACCCCTGTCTCTTAAAGCAATAACTTGGAAACTAGCTTCTATTCTCTGCATGGAATATAAACCTGATATTCCAACACATCCTATCCCTTTGCTCACTACATATGGACATTACAGTTGCTTAATAATTCAGTGCGGACTTATGGTGTCAACTTTTTGGTTGGCCATCTTGGGTTGTCTCTTGTTACCTGCTTGCTCTATAGCCACCTCAAAACTGTTGAATTTTCTTATTTTATTAAGAATATTTTAGTTTAGAAGTTTAATTTTGTTATTTTAGGGATAGATTTAGTTTATTAATAGGTAGTTTTTATTAAATACTTATATGTTTTAGTGTTTAAAGTGATAGGTTTGGTTTCATCTTCACAGACTTTTATTTTATTGGTGGTTTTGTTTAAAAGTTTAATTATCTTGTTTTAGTAATAGATTTAGTTTATTAATAGGTAGTTTTTATTTAATAATTATACATATTAGTGTTTAAAGTGATATGGTTTCATCTTCATAGACTTAAAATCGTGAGAATACTTTTGTTGGGTCCAGGGGTATTTCAAAATGAAATTACAAACCTTTCCCCGGGGAGTTTCCTCAATGGTAGGGAAAATATGAGCAAAATTAAATGGTGGGAAAGAAGGGAAAAGTTAGTGAGAATGAGACCTGTAAAACGTGAGAAATGCATGCACATCATAATATTATAAAATAGAAATATTCAATAAATCAAAAAATGGAAAATAAAGAATCCCCCTTTTGAACGTTTACAATTTATTATAATTGGTAAATGGTTGAATGTCGTGGATAATGAAGAGAAGAATAGTTGGAGGGGTCAGTCAAAAAAGAAGGCAAAAATAAATGATAATATTTATTATTACATATGCCGACTTTTCGACCTGAAGTTCAGGCCTTCATTAGGGCTGTCTCTTTAGTGTTGCAGGGAGAATGGTCGAAACGTCGGCATTTGTAAAAATAAATATTATCATTTATTTTTGCCTTATTTTTTGACTGACCACCTCAACTATTTTTCTCTTCATTATAATTTATTATGGTGGAAAAAAGATTATTAAAATGGACTGATATAGAATCAAACATAAAATACAATATTTAGAGTAAATAAAAACAAATTAAACATTAGGAATAAAATATAAATAAAATCAACTTGTAAAATTATAAATAAAACAAAAGAAAAAAATAACTGTTCAAAGAGAATAAAACTAATTTATGAGGGAAACCAAAATTAAATTATATTACAAAAATGTTTGAAGTGCATTTGGGACTAGTTCACAAGAGTTCTGCACGGATTACGCGTAATTCACAATCACTTCGATCACACTTGTTCATGGAATCCTGAAAACAGCCGAATGTGGTCGTCAGCTATTGCCCCATTAAACAACCCCTTTTCAGGTATTAAAAAAAATAATAACGTATTTCCTTCACTGGACTTCTTTATTAACAATTTATTAACGAATTGTGTATTTACTAATTAATTAATTATTAATTTTTATTATAACGGTTACCACTGTGGAAGAAAAAGAAAAAAAATACATAAAATAATGTTTGAGTCGTTTCTTCAAGGCCTGTTAAAATAAATGCTTTTAGAAATAACCTTTTTATTGACAAGTGCTTACATGTAGTGGCTGTAAATACGAATATACTGTATATTATCTTTTATAACTGTGTATAAAAGATTTTTTTATCATTTGGATGATAAATAATTGGAAGTAATCTATTATCTTTTTATTTGTTATTCGAGTTTTTCAATAGAAGTTGGAAAAATTGCATTTATAATTTATTTTAGCAAGCCTTTTTTAGTATATGTCATCTATCTAGTTTATGTAATTTTTTGGATTTCTAATAATACGAGCGTCCACTATTTTAAATTGGGGGGGGGGGAGCGCTTTGTATCCATATACTGTCTGA